GAAATCCATAGTGATTGAAGAAGCAAGTTAGTGTTCTGATTGTACTTATCATTCAAACCTATCATGAAGGAATCTATTTTAATATTTACTATTAGAAATAAATTTTTATAACCTACATTACATATGACTGTAAATTAAGGGTATGGACTGTGGAACTAAAACCACTAGTAGATTTGAACTTGCCATATGTTTGGTGTTGTAGACTATACTTAGTATGAGTTATTTTAAACTTGGAATGGTTAACAAAATTATGAACAATTGTAATATTTTTTTAATAAAAAGTAAAGTAGTGATATTACTTCAAATACTTATAAATTGTCATTGATGCATCAGTGAAAAATTTAACTTTTATAGTATAGAGAACTACTACAATTTTCCATTCTGAACTCTTATTAAATTGATCACGAAATGATAACATTCATATGGATTTGCATTTTTCATTTTTCAAAATATGTTAAATGCTTAGAACATGGTGTAATAGATAGAAAATATACATAATATTAGAATGTCATAATAGATGGAGGCTTCAATTGAGTGTTAAGTCTTGTATGGTTTAGTTCCTGTAAATGTGATGCTTGGAAAAATATAATGTTAATTAATAGTTATATATACAATACAATTATGCTCTATATCTCATATTACTTAGTTTCAATTTTTATCAATTTTTGACTGCCTGAGATTAATGGTTTATCTCATCTCGATAATAGAAATGGATATGAATTTTAAGTGGGTGGTGTGATTTTATAAACTTTATTTTTAATAGAGTAGGTTCAAAATTGATATAGTATGGTTGTGCCTTATTTATCCAATACAAGACAGAATCAGAGGTTCCTTCTTAAAATTCAGTCAATGATTCTAGTCCTTTATAACACATGACTGGTGCCGTCCAAATTTTTACATTGTCACATTTATCTGATGTAAGATTTATTAAAACTGATAAAGCAATAAACAATTAATGATTTTGAATTAATATGAGTTTTATTTACTGTTATTGACCTTTATTTTTTACAGTGGTCTTTGAAAATTGATATGAAAATAGTTATCTAATCATATCTGTATTTTTTAGTCAAATTTAAACTTGGACATGACAGCTGATCTTGTGTGGAATTCATGATTTTGTCTTTAATGTTGTCCTTGGTATTGTGGTTAGGTCACAATAATTCTGCCAATGTCCGGTCTTAAGTCAGTCACATCTTATCTTGAGGCTTCTCAGTTGGAAAGGAGTTGGAGGTTATTAGGTGCCAGTGTGATTAAAAACAAAACACACCTAAAATTTATAATCTTTAATTTAATTTGTGCACAAATATGTGAATGGCCTACAAATAATTGTTCTGGGTCTGGATGTTTATCCTCGTGCAATTTATGTTTGTAGACTGCCTCCACGACACAGGAGAAAATCCTAATCCTTAATGTTGTTTTTAAAAATATATTATAATATTGTTTGCTAAAGTTGCTTGATAATTTTAGGTCAAGAGATCAATCATACTATTAATTACAAATTATATTCACGAAAAAAATATGTATCACTGTCATTATACAATAACACTTAATTGTTACTAACTAAAAACAATAAGAACCGAAGGTTAATGTGGTAGATCTAAATCATCGAGAAACTAAGTTATAATATGACCTCTGCTTTTTTTACTAGCCTTGATATGATTTTGAAACAGTTAGATCGGTACTAACCATTGCTTCTTGCTTCCATTGATTATCTACTAACATACCTCGCTTCTTGCACATAACATGTTTATCGGTCGAGTACACTCTTGATTTGGCCAATCTTCAATATATCACTTATTTAATCACTAGACCGTATAGTGTCAGTGTTAGAATATCCACTAGTCCATATCGCGAGAAACTGAAACAGGACATCGGCAACAGCAACTATGACAATATCCTCTCTCAATGGCAATCTGTTAGGAATGCCTATTTTCAGTAGTGGACAGATGCTCACTTTCGAACATTCCACGAATAACGACCTTCTTGTTACGTGTGGTGTGGGCTGTTTGCACTATTCCGCTGAAAGTAAAAGGGCCTTCGGATCAATGCCAAGCCGCCGTAAACAAGATTCATCAAAGTTATCCAACAGTGACATTCCATTGCCCTTTCTTGTCTTTTATATATAATACTAGTATAAAATAGCAGCTTAATGCTGTGTTTCGTATGGTGAGTGTAGAGAACCGGAGACCCTTTTTACCGGAAACGAGGCATTCCATCTTAGTCCTCACGGGTGACAACTCATCTGCATTTTGATTCGTAATCGAGGATAGATGTAGATGTCTATGGGCCACAGCAACCAGTTATCATCAGGTGGACTGTGTGCTCGTTTGTCACCCTTATCCTATAAAAAAAATCACAAGTCCTCTGCTCAACATAGGTCTCACACAAGTAAATACCGTTTGATCAGATTCAGATTAGTAATATTTTTTCGTATTAATGGAGATAGATATTTTTTGTTTCCTATGTTATAAATACTTGCACTGTATTTTCTTTTTGTCAATACTTAATTTTGTGTTCCTTTAAATTTTCACCTGACTAATTTATTTAGGCAATAAAAATATATTACCAGTGGCATTGGGGTCCACGATTTCGAAACCCTTACGGAACAAATATTTGTATGGCCCTAAATAACTGTTTCGGATGTTTATGCATGTGAATTCCTACATGATACAGGAAAATTCTAATAAATAAAAAGTCAGTGCTAAGACCTAAGACATAAAAATCTACTTTTGATACTACATTAGGTACATAATAGCTTCTTAGGAAATTATTTTATTATTTTTAGCTCGTTGAAGTCGGCTTTAATTTTATTACCCTCTTTTGAGTGAACTAAGGAAAATCACAAGCGCAAGGTAAGAATAAAGTCTTCCAGATTGAGTTTCGGTCTGGGTGGCCAGTGACCATGGGGACTAGCAATCTGTGCAGGACATTATTATAGTGCACGAGTATGTAAACAAAACAAATGCACTCTATATTCCCTCACTCTCATTGTCCGATGGAACGGCAATCGAACACGATTGGTGGGAAAACAAGTGCCGGACCAATGGCTTTACGTGTCTGAGGCAAGGGGGTGAAACACCGCGAACTTCCTGATATCGGGCTGCTACTCAGAATTGTTTGACAAAAACCTCGATTTTGGGTTAAATACCAGCATTTAAACAACTTTTCAAATTTTGATGTGGTATGATTTCCACATTCACTCCTTGCTTCTTATTTCTAACTACATCGCACCACATACGTGAACTTCTTCGAAATCAAGCAAACATTTACGGCACTATAATCCCTAAATCCTACGAAGTTGACACCATAGTCAAATATACATAAGAGCCAAAGAGAGAATATAAGTACTTACTTATTAGTGACTTGAAAATGTGCTCTAGTATCAAGGGGCGATGACAATACTATAATTTAATAACTTCATCCTAATATACTGATCAGGATCACAAGGATAAAATAAAGTAATTATTCTTTTTCTTATTTTTATATATTTCTTCTTCTGGGTTGTCTGGAAGAGATTGCTATGTAGCAATAAAACGGCCCTTTGTATATCCCTCAATAGTTATATTTTTTTCTTTTTGATATTTTTAACTTTTCTTGGTGTACAATAAAAAGTATTGTATTGTATTGTAATTTTAGCGTGTTTCTTTAGCTCTTTAAACTATAATTATTATGTATTAATATCGAACACTTATAAAAATGTAATATTTAATAGTTGTTCCTAATTTATTACGATTAGATTTTATGGGTTTTGAATTGTTTGCGTGGAACCCTAATTCTTTTTCTAAAATGAAAGTAGCCTAAGTTACTCACACTCACGGAGTCACTTTACGGAGTTTTTGGGTGATTTCGATGACAGCCTCAAGGCACCTAAGCGGCAAAAGATTCTAATTGAGTCTTATATCGTAATCAGTATACCAGCTAGTAGATTATTTTAACGATGACATTAATTCAATGTAGTAAGTAATTAATAACTGATCATAATTTTTTTCAATTATTTTTAATTTTTAAAAAACACTGGATATTCTATTTGCCATTAAGTAAACTTTTCCCAATGCAAAGGTATTTTAATAATAGTCAGTTTATTTGTAATCAATGTTTATTTTCACATTTTGTAAAGCATAGATTGTAGATATCACGTTTCTGTTATGCACACAAGTCAATCCATACCAAACACTTTAATTGTTACATGTCTCTATACAAAAGTAACGCTATACTGTTTATGGCATAGTAGCGGTTAGTGTAATCACATAGAAAAAAATTATATTAAACATTTCTATTTACACCTTAATATTTTTATTAGGTACATGAGTTTTAATATGAAAATGGTATAAAAATTACACTTTCATAATATTATTTTACATACATTGTTATAGTAATACAAACGCGGTTCGTTATCCTAACTCTGAAAAAATATAACAATAGTAAAAGCCACAATGCTTCATACAAATATTAACAGCCATATACTGTATGAATATTCATAAAAATGGAAAATATCGCTCGAGGCACTGCAGTAGTGATTTCTATATTAACGGCCGTATTAATTGTAGATTATAAATCGTCCTAAAAATCACAATAATTTTTAAAGAAATAGATACAGAAAGGTCTAACTCATGCTTATAATATTTGCCAGAAAACCGCAAATATGCAGAGAAAAATCCTTTCGAAATTTGAAATTGTCACAAGTAAACTATACTGATAGAGTATAATATAAAACAATTATTAATATTTAACTTAAAATAAATCTAATAGAAAATAAATATAAATAACGTACATATGGCAAATATTTGGCTTTATATAGTTTTATATTCAAAAGTGACAATAAATGCGTAACATTAGCTTTTTTAAAACCCCCAACTACTTAAATGAAAGAAATAATGTTTAGGTGGTAACACCAATCGTTATCGTTTTGTTCACATTTTGTCACTGAATAGTAGCAGTCATATATAAGAAAAAAGAAATAAAATAATTTTTTTTACAGTTTAAACAACAACAAAAAGGTTTTAAAGCTCGTTGCCCATAGAGCTGTCGTGTGTGAGATTCGAATCCATGCTAGCGTTATCCGAATCTTGACTTTGGTTTCCGCTGTAGTTAGCCGCCTCTTGTAGTCTCATCAACATGTTCAACTGAAATAAGAAAATTTATTAAAGACATTTTATTTCTAATCTGGATATATTGCTACTAATGTAATGACTTTCTAATGGGCGCTAATGCTACTATATTTTTTTTAGGCAACAGACAAGTTTTAATTGTGACTACAAGTTGTCGCTGCGCCTGAAATTATAAGTGTAAAATAATTTGAACGTACCAATGGATCTTGATTGTTGTTTCTATTCGCTTCTTGATTTGCTTCTTCGATGCTCATTTCTTCAACTGTGATCGCTCTTAGCGTCTGTAATATAAAAATAAAATTTAAATGTTTTACGGCTTTTGTTTATTCGTAGCTTTGTGTGCAATATTAATAACTCATGATCAATGTGTGTCGGTAGTTTTTTTTTTAACTTTAATGTTATTTCTGATAAAATTTTCAGTTTTATTCAAATTGTATAACATACTAAAACATGATATTTAGAATCTAATTCTGCCAATACGTTCGCAAATCAAAAGAAAACTGATTTATACTTCGTTATCACAGTCTTCATAACCTAACCTAACCTATATTTTTATTACTCTGCCCTATAAGTAACGGACTGCATTCTTAAAGCTCGGTCAATTTAATTATTATAATTATTTTTCAATTTAACATGGAGTAGAGCCACGCTGCAGCTATATTATTGTCATAGAGTAGGACGAACGAACGAGAGCGTGGTCCTTTCATAGTCGAGCGGTCTACTCGAGGACCACGTTCTCACAAAATACCACCATGGAAAAGCAGCCCAATATGCTGCCGTGTGGTATGGTGATTATAGAGGATCGGAGACCCTTATTACGAAACGAGGCATTCCATCTTAGTACTCACGGGTGACAACGCATCTCCATTTTGATTCTTGATCGCGATGTAGATGTCTATTGGCCTCAGCATCTACTTCTTACTGGATTGTGTGCTCGTTTGTCACCCATATAAAATCACTTGGTCCATAAAATATACAATATTATTTAAATAGTATAAAAAACTTACGTGAGAATGGTTGGGTTCCCTCCAGGGGTAGGAGGACTTGACGTGGTGCAGGGGGTCGACGGCGGCGTGGCGCCTGCGGCCGTACAGCGCCACGCCCTCGCGCACCGCCTCCGACGCGTACGGCACCACGCTGTAGTTCCACACGTCCGCGAACCAAGCCTGCCACAATTACAATACAATACAATACAATAAACAACCTTGTTTAATGTAATAAAGTTAAATAAATAAAATATTATTATACTTTATTGATAATTTTATTATGTACATTTTTTTAATTAGTCCATTTGTAGTATGCATTAAGAGCTTATTGTACAAACATACTTGGTTTTTTTAATTAAACCATTTTAGTACAAAATATAAAAAAAATAACATTATTTAAAGATATCTTTTTACTATTTGAAGTGTACTAAAAATATGACAATCTCTATTTCGTTTTAATATTAATAATATTAAAAAAAAATCTCCTACTTTTCCACCCATAGCACACCCCTGACTATAACCTATTTAAAAAAAAAGTGAAGATTGGTTAAAAAAATAACCTATAATTTTAATCGTTAAAAATATTAAGTAGTTATTTTTTTAATCAAACACTAAAATACTAAGTTAATATCGTTATGTATGTGTTAGTTTCAAGGAGTTGAATGATTTCTTTTCTTCAACATATAAACCAATAACCCTTTTCGAAAAACATATCATTCGTTACCTCGTTAAGAATAAAATAAGAAACAACACTATACATTGTGATTACATAATTAATTCAAAATGGTTCCACAATTTTTTTTTTCAGTAAACAATTCTCGCGTCGGATCTGACACGCACCATTTCTTTTTAATCTGTGGTGGATGGTTAATCCGTGGGTAAAGTCTTTGTTCCGTAGTGGACTTTTCATATGCTGTAATAAAGGATAAATTAATTAACGACATTAAAAAAAATCTCTGCTGCAGCATGAAACTGCGATTGCCTGCAGTTGTGTGCACGATATCGATATGTTAAATATCGATATTTTTAAGATAATCTATTTAATTATTGTAAGATTTATTCTTTGTCCGTACGGTGATAGAATAAGCAAATCGATCAACTCATTTCGTCCTGTAGGTAATATAAGAGGCGACTGTGGATAATGCATTAGAAAGATGCTAATTATACATCAATTCGGAAAAAAGAGCTATACCTAGGTCTATAAAAATTTAGCCATACAGGTCTAGCATGTAGATTATTCAGCGAATAAGAAATGACCTCACCTGACTAGCTTCCAAGTCCATAGGGCATGCGAGGAACAGCCGCGGGCCGACGGTGACGTCACTGGAGGAATGCGCTTCTAGGAAGGCGTTGAGCGTCGCCCACACGCCTGGCAACCATTCCAACACCGCTGCTAAAGCTGGCTCACGACGTCCTAACCGAAGTTCCAGCGAGAACAATTTCCGTCGCAAGTATCTGTATAAAGATTTTCAATGAAACTTGACTTTGTTTATATGCCTGCTAGCCGAACGTACTGAAAAGTTTGCACTCTGAAAATTTTAAGATCGTTGCTTGCCTTAAATTGAATTGTAATCAATTTAAGGTAAGCATGGCAATATTTCGGTCCCACGGGCACCACTAAAATTGTTAATCAAACGTCATGAGAAAATCATATTTCGGAAATTATAAATATTTAATTTCTCAAGTATGATGGTTTTTCGTGGAGCACTTCTTTTACGTGATAGAGCCATGTTGCGGCTACATTATGATTGTAGCACTAATGGATCTTATCGACCGGGTTAGGACCACGCTCTCACAGAATACCAGCTTAAAATAGCGTCTTCATGCTGCTGTATTTCGTATGGTGAGTGTAGAGAACCGGAGACCCTTTTTACTGGAAACGAGGCATTCCATCTTAGTCCCCGCGGGTAACAACGCATCTGCATTTTGATTCTTAATCGAGGATAAATGTAGATTTATATGGGCCACAGCAACCACTTACCATTAGGTGGACTGTGTGCTCGTTTGTCACCCTTGTTCTATAAAAAAAATATTTCAACGATATGTGAATTCCATTAACAGGTAAGGAAGCAGCGCGGTGGACTCTTTCCTGCCCCAAAACTGTCTTAGAGGTAGTCTGTGCCCAGACAAGATGAGGTACTTGTACTTTATTTAGTCGTCGCATATCTCTGAGGTCTTATACAATTTGATATAAATAATTGACTCTATGTAGTTGACGACCTCCAACGCAAGATTAGGTATTTCATTTTCTTAATATAATGTAGCGTTTCCTTCTTCTTCTACAGCCTATAAAAGCCCACTGCTGGATATTGATATTTATTAAATAATCTAATGAATTAGCTTCGTATATCAGAAATGAAAACAAATTGCGTCCATTTAATACAAAGATGTTTTTATAATTTGGAAGAATATCTACAAAATTAAAATACTCTACAGTAATCCCATATATGTAATTATTATTTAAAAATATTGTTTTTTTTTTAATAATTTTAATTAATTGTTCAAACTAATATAACTATCAACTTTATTTGATAACTAATTCATTGTGTAACTTTTAGGCACAGGCCCATAAAATCTAACATATATTGTAATACCTGGAAAGAGTGGTTAAGTTGTAATATTATAAATTACCACCAAATGTATAACACTTAGTTAACAATAATGATTTAGAATTTGAATTCGGATCTCTTCCGTTGTAGGGAAGGTTTGCCTTAATCTTTCCAATTGTCAGGCAGGTGCTCCTTCAATTGTAGAAGCACTTAAGAATCACTCTCTTTGATCGATTGGGTCGTTTTGAAAAATAACTAGGACGATAAATCGTATAAAGAAATTGTCATACCGTGCTAAGAATCCTTTCACTGGTTCCATGTGATTTGCGGTAAGGAGCCATCGGAAATTATGGTGCAGCTGAAGGTTTGTGGTGTTGCAAGTAGCTTGTGACATTGTTCCTGTAAACGATAGAAAATTTAGTGTTTTGATAATTAGTGATAATTTTTTGCGTGGTAGAGCCATGCTGCGGCTATATTAGTAGTATAGTTGTAGCACGAATGGGATCGGCCCAGCTCGACACAGAATACCAGCGTAAAATAGCAGCTTAACGCTGCGGTGTTTTGTATAGTGAGTGTAGAGAACTGGAGACCTTTTTTACTGGAAACAAGGCATTCCATCTTAGTACTCACGGGTGACAACGCATCTGTATTTTGATTCGTAATCGAGGATAGATGTAGATGTCTATGGGGCAGGATTAGGTGGGCTGTTTTTGAGTTTTAGCGAGACTAATGAGATTGCATTTGGATGATTACTTTTAATATTATTCATCATTGCAAGGGAAAAAATAATAGATATATAAATAAGATATATAATGACCTTGCAATGATTACAGGTGTGTTCCAAATCTCAAGCGCCACACAAATAATAACAAGTGTGTAAAAAAATTTTCTGAGTTCTGGTCTCTCGCCAAGGCTATTCAAGGGAATTTCTGTAAGCCATCACTACCATCTCTGCACAGGGAGAACGACTTACTGGCCCACGCCGCTAAATAGAAAGCCGACCTTTTAGGCTCCCTTTTTGCGTCCAACTCGACTCCCAATGACGGGGGGAACACACTGCCGACCATCCCGCAGTGTGAGTGCACTATGCTTGATGTGCGATTCACACAATGCTCAGTACGCAAAGCACTCCTCTTCCTGGACATACACATGTCGAGTGGGCCTGACGGAATTCCGAAAATTTTGCTGAGGATATGTGCTCCAGAGTTGGCACCGGTTCTAACGCGTCTTTTCCGGTACTCCTACCCCTTCGGCGTTGTCCCGAATTCATTGAACTTTTGTGCACTCGATCCCTAAAAAAGCTAACCGCTCTGATCCGTCCAACTACAGGCCTATCACCTTCTTGTTCTCGAAAATAATGCAATCCATTATTAACTGCCAGTTCATGCGGTACCTTGAGGAGCACCAGCTGATTAGTGACCGCCAGTACGGTTTCCGTCGGGGTCGCTCAGCTGGTGATCTTCTTGTTTACTTAAAACATATATAGGCGCAGGCGATCGAGTCCAAGGGGGAGGCAGTGGCCGTTATTTTGGCATAGCGAAGGCTTTCGATCGGGTCTGGCACAAGGCGCTTCTTTCGAAGCTTTCTTCCTATGGGCTTCCCGACAAATTGTGCAATTGGATCACCAGTTTTCTGGCTGTTCAGAGCATCAAGGTCGTTGTAGACGGTGCATGCTCCGATTACAAGCCTATTAACTCTGGTTTTCCACAAGGCTGCGTGCTATCACCAACGCTGTTTCTTCTGCATATTAATGATATGTTGCAAACCGGTAACATTCATTGCTTTGCGGGTGACAGCACTGGTGTACACCGGCCGTGCCAATATTTCTCGGGAAACCGTCGCCGAGTACCGAAACAAACTCGACTTCGGGAGTCTTTGCTCAACAAAGTCTCGGATTGGGTGCGATTAAGTCTAGTCTAGTTTAATCATCAGAAGACACAAGTGTGCGTTTACCGCTAAAAAGAACCTCTTTGTCGTATCTCCTCAGTTTCAAGGCACTCCCCTTGTTGCTTCAGCCAGTATCGGAATCCTCGGCGTCGACATATCGAGTGACGTGCAGTTTCGTGGTCACTTGGAAGAGAAGGCCAAATTGGCTTATAAAAAGCTTGGCGTGCTCAGCAGAGCGGGACAGTTCAATTTCACCGTCGCACATAGCGACAAAACTCGCGATACCATCCATACCATCTGGATGATTGGCGGTCCACCACTGTGCGATTTAGAAGATGCTTTCTTCCTCGCACAACTTCCTTGTGGAATCGATTACGACCAGCGATTTTTCCGGACCGATACGACTTAGGCCGGCAACGCATCTGCAATTCTCCTGGTGTTGCAGTTATTCCTGGGCGGCGGTAGCCACTTACTATCTTGCCCCATCACCTATAAAAAAAATTATGTGTCATACCAATAATAACGGGCATGTTCCTGTTGTCGGGCGGCAGTAGGCCGGCGAAGGCGTCTCCCAGCGCCGAGGCGTGCTGCAAGTTGTCGAGTACAACGACGGAGGGAAGTGCCGCCTCTTCGCCCGCGGCCGCCGCGCTGCACTGCTCCGCGATGTTCGCGAGATATGCGCGCAGCTCGTTGCACGACTTGCGGTCCACACTGTACAGTATATACATTTGTATAGAAGACTGTAAGTATACTTTTGGCGAGAAATGGATGTGTCATGTATGTAGTGTTTTTAATAAATAATATATTCATATCAGTCACTAGTACTATACTACTATAGAATCATGTTGAATCTGATGCCATCATAATTGATAATTTAATGTAGTTCTTTTATATACTAAACCATGAATAACAAACGCGCAAAGTGAGCTTTTAAGGAATGTGAAATTGTCTATCAAAAGTTATTAATCAAGTAGCGATCAATTAGATCTAAAGTAACACTTCAAATGTAATTAAATTGTGTTGGATTAAGTTAACTATAGCTATAGGTAATTTAGACTAAGGAAGGTGTATTTAAGTCTAATATGTCCAACGCAATTAACGATTTCCTACCGTTTTTCGTAAGCAATAGAAATTGGATAAGAACTTAATTACCATCCCAATAAGTAACAAAAGAGTGACAAAGCAAATTTATGTTGCGGAAGTGAACGGCAGGGTCGGGAAGGGACGCCCTAGACGAAGGTTTATCGACCAAATCGGCGATACATTAAAAATGGGCCAGATTAGGAGTACCCTTAACCGACGAGCGTGTATGCGTAGATATATGGATGTAAAAGAGGCGAGAGAGGTGTGCCAGGATCGCGCCAAATGGAAGTCCGTAGTCTCTGCCTACCCCTCTGGGTGACAGGCGTGAGTGTTTATGTTTATATGTTTAAGTAACACACTATTATAAAAATTTACATACTTAAACGTAGCGACGGCTTCAGCGGGATTCCCCCTTCGTTGCGTACGTTGAACGTAGAATTCCGCTAGTTTCGCCGCTAAATACGACTTTCCCGTGCCACTTGGCCCGCAAAGTATCACTCGCCGGTGTTCAGATAACAACGAAACGTACCTACGAAATTACGGAACATAAATAATCATTAAATTATGATTCAATTATAAAATAATTTTAACATATAAGTTTGTACATACCTATATACAATATTTTTTGGTATAAGACTATCGAAAGCCAGGCTTCCAACTCCTTGCAAGCAAATGTATAACGTATTTACAGTGCCAACAATATAACCACAAGGCAATAACTCCGGAAAACCAATCTCTGGTCCTCTGGTAGCCTCGCCCAAATGGTAAGACGTTATGGAGTCCGTATTCAAACCAAGATTCGTGCCCGGATCTATCCTCGATAGATAGTCCTTGAACGTCTTCCTTACTATATAGTCTAAGTTCTGCCACGTCGTCTTCCCGGATATATAAGTGTACGCTATAGTGAATTCGTTGCAGTTTATTGTCGAGTCGCCATTATATACATTTTTAAACGAATTACTGTGCGTCGATTTGTTACTCTTTAGGCTATTCGTGTTCGATTTGTTTATTGACTGCGGGTAGTCTTGCGTCTCTGTCTCAGGGCTGTGGTTCTGTGAGATCCGCGGCGAGTCGTAGCTCGGTTGCTTTTCGAAGTTGTTAAACGCGGCCGCCGATTGTTTCGCGTAAAATCTACACTCGGACTCCGTAAGCGTGTCTTGGACCTCTTCAAAATATCTCTGGAATGTTTCTGGCTGGCCCAAGTACACCGCAATAGCTATTTTCTTTCCGTCCGTCGTGTCGCCCTGGCTGTCAGCTACACCTAAAATTGATAACGATTTCAATATTTTGACGTTATTTTGAGACTTTTATATTTTTATTTCTTTTAATTGTATTTTACATATTTTATCTTAACAGTATGATATGTCTACAAATAATTGCGTCGGTTCTGGATGTTTGTCCATTTCCTGTATATGTAATCCTATATATTTATTTCTTTTCACCAGCAATATCTTAATAATTTACGCGAGCGATTCTCGTGAATTATATATATTATATAGTTCCTCGGAAACGGCTCTAACAAATTAAGTAAAATTTTGTAGGTGAATAAATGTTTTAGGTAGACTCCAAGTTTATCTACATAGCATAGATTTTATTCCTAAGATAATTATCCTTTTTTAAAGTCGAGCAAAGCTCTGTCGCCTAGATGAGCAACAATGAATATGCTTACAACTGAAACAATACTATGGTTAAGTAGAAAACCGTTGCCTAAACCAGATAAAACCTATACCTTAGGTCAACAGTTCTCCACCTGAGGTCCTTGTGTGGACAAAGTGGGAAGATGAAGCTACGGAAAAGGATTTACTTCGGATTTGAACAATGAAACAAGATACTTATATCCTAGTTTAAAAAAAACGAGATATAGGAGAACATCCTAGTGAAAAACAGTTTATATAAAAAAGTTTGAAGTTGGCTGCAGGTGCTCATAAACTTATACTATATAATACATAAACTTCAGTAGCCACTTATCATCAGGTGGATGGTAAGTTTGTTTGTTACTTCAGTTTTATAAAAAAAAAATCATACGGCAAATGTAACTAAATGATTCAACTTACCAATATCAGAATAGCTCTCGCCAATAGCTAACTCTCTGCTTTTGGGCGGTGGTAGCACCGTATTGATGTCGTAATCACCGCTTAATCTTTCACCGGGATTAAGTCCGTTAGTAAACATATCACTGGATCCGTTCAAAGCGCTTAAAATCGCCTCGCTGTTTTCGTTTAATTCGCATACAGCCTTGTTCCCGTATATGGGCTCCCCTATGCTTGATTTTGGCGAGCCCGTCTTTGAGAAGTCCATCGTTTGAGTCGACGTGAGCGTGCAGTTGAAGTCTAGGTCGAGAGGTTGAGAATGCATATCCATTGTCGCCTGTAGGATATGAATAAAATGTTGGTGATGACGACATTAAATATAATATATCAAATGTATTTGTTTGTAAAAATTGTATTTCGGATTTATCTGCCTCAAATATCCATCATTTTGTCAGTGATGATATTTACTCAAGAATACTAGCAATGTTAATGATACAACTAATTAAAGAGATAAACTATTTACCACTCAATCCAAAATTAAGTTACGAGGTGTTATTTATTTTCCTATAAATGGTTAAACCTATACCCCCTTAATATACCCAAAACCATTGTGCTACTGTTATAGTATAACCATTACCTTATTAATATGTTCCACATATATTTAAGCCATACTACATTAAGAATAGGGTTCAGAATTAACTTTACGTGGTGTAAAGAATAAGCTAATGTCTCATGAATTTGCAAAACGTGTTTTGGCAAATTAAGCCGAATTACGTTGATCATAGGGTTGAGAATCAGTGGGCAACGTACTTGGTGCAGTGCGGGTTGGTCCACGAGGCTAAATCGGCGCGGGTCATCGGAAGCGGGCAGCGAGCTCTGGCTGCCGGCCAGCGAGCGTGACGTCACCAGCCGCTGCAGTCTCTCGTTGTTCTGCTTCAGGTTTAGCATCTCGTTCTACAGTAAAATAAAATTAATGTAAGGTTAGTGACATCAGTCTTTTAGCCCAGTAGTAAAAACGGCTTTAATAAAAGTGCAATAAGCAACATTATTTAATTTAAAAGTAATAATAAGTAAATTAACAAGGTTCAATACATATTGTGGGACTCCTAACATATTTATTTGTGACTAGCGATCCGCCCCGGCTCCGCACGGGTGATTTCTGGATCTCGACAATGGCGCCATCTAGCGGGCCAAAATATGAAACTAAACCATCTAGGACCCATTTAAACAGACACAAAAATTTTCATTAAAATCGGTCGAGCCGTTTTTGAGTTTTACTAACGGACAGTAATTGATTTTTATATTTAAGGATGTGCAAATTTACCCACAATGTTTCCTTTAGTGTTATTTAATATTATTTAAATAGAGATGAGAAAACAAAAAAATGGACAAGTGCCTGCCGAATCGCAATGTTTTCGCAGCCCTGGCCGCGCAATGTTAAGTTTTTTTTCTAATTTAATTTTAGCTCTCTAGTTTCAATGCAACCTTTCTTAATACTTTAAACAAGTTTATAAAATCCCAACAATTTTCAAAGGCCCGTATAATGATACCCTTAATTTCAATTATTCATACATCACAACCTATAATAAGCCAAGTGTGTTAACTAACATGTCTTAGTTAACACACTCGGCAGACGGGTTCAGTTTTTATTTTATTATTTTCTAGTTGTTCTTAGGAAGACGCTCCATCCACATGGTTTGTTTTCCTCTGTCGCCTCTTATGATATCCACGGGACGATATATATATATATATATATATAGAAGTGGATGATACTTTGACACTTTAGGACATATAGACAGAACAAAAATACAATGGTGGTGTATAACTTCAGTACCATTATAAAATTACATTTACATATTATATAACATATTATTTCATAATTGTGCATAATTTTTACACTAAGAGCATAACGTGCTTTTAAGTTTTTATTTGATTCGGTTAATAACTATAGAAGTGCATGATGCTTTGACATATTAGGACAAACAGACAGAAAAAATTACAATGGTGTTGTGTAACTTCAGTACCATTGTAAAATTACATTTACATATTATATAACATATTATTTCATTGTAATCTCACCCTCATTTTGATAACGGTATCCTTAAGGCTTTCAAGTTGGTGAGCGGAGCTGAGAGCTTCCAGTCTAATATCAGTGAGAACTAAATCTTTTTCCCTTAGCTGCCTTTTTAGTTCATCGACTAGTCCGGAATCGTCAGGTTTATCTGTAAATAAATTACAAATCAGTACTCGTTAAATATTCAATCAAATTTAATACGTATAATAATTTCGAGCGAAAAGCAGACCACCGTCAAACTGCTGTCGCCCGGTGATCTTGCCAAGAACGCCGTCAGGAGGCGAGTAAGTACACCAGCTCTAAACTCTTAAGTGATATCTAAGTGAGTTGCTGTGCTATGCTTGTAATTTTGTTTTCAATGATGAGCGCGTGGGTTGTACTGGCTGGCAATCTTACCTAGAACTTCAGTTGCAGGTGCTGGGTTTTTAGAAACTAACAACAGTAATTTCGAAGGAAGTAATTTTTATATGAATACAATATAAGTCGTTTTATGTTTGTCTTCTACATATTCTATGTATGAAGCCAGTGCTAAGTGACACAGCTTTCACTCACCTAAATTTCACTGAGTAATAAACAAAGAATTGTTTATTGGCTAAAGTGAACGAGTAAACAATACGCAGACCGCGAGTTTATTTGTTGATGTACGAGTACCTAATTTGTCAACTTCTCGCTTTACTCATTTTTTTATTTATATATTTAAGAGATTTTGTGTGCTCATGCAAAATTTCCTATGAAATAGTAGAATGTTATTAAGTTTTATGAATTTATTTATTAACTTCCTTCTGCGTAGCATTGAAAGGAAGTTAATGGTTTTAGCTGGCAGTCTGTTAGTCTGTATGCGGACACGATAACTTCCGTTCCACTGTTCCACACACCGATTGACTTTAATTTTGGTATGTGGATACCTTGAGGTAGTAGCTCGGACGAGTTTGAATTTGGGTCCAGTAGGTCAAAGGGCACCAGAGATATGGGATTCACGCAGAAGGAAGTTGTTTTTCTTGAATTTACATTCAACTCGTTTATTTATAAGGTACTCTAACTGTTGTTTAAACAAGTCTTATAAATTATTGTAATGTTCTTAAAAAATAAGCCTGTATAATGCATATATTTTACACGCTTATTTTTCAGAAAGTAACCAAATGTTAAAATTATGTTCAAATATATTAATAGTGATATACCGTTATTGCAGTTTTTGAAAATACGAGTAAATAAGGCTTCTACTTTTATTTGAAATTATGTCTAATTGAATGTGATTTATCGACGTTATGATCGACCCTTACGAATGTGTGTACAATAAAACCAGTTAAAAGAATGCATTACCACACATTTTGAATTTAAAAGATAAAGTGGACAGAATGTTAGAGATATTTTTAATAAACTTTTCTTCACCATTTGCCTACATTACATATTCTGAACCTTCTCTGCAAATTTGGCCGGTTATTGCAAAATAACCCTGTAGATGTACAATAAATTATAATATGGGAAAAATTAAAAAACCACGCTGCCCAGGTGGCAAACTTCACAAGTCTTTCTCAAGTTTCATCACCATGGTTTCCTTCAACATCGAACACGTTATACGTAAGTTAGCATTTAAAGTTGTGTTAACAATGCCATCGGTGGCTTCGTTTGTTCGCATACTGTGAAGTTTTAATGCAAAGAATCCTTTACGTTGTCAAATGTCAAATCGAGTAACTACTAGATTTTTGTTTTTTTTTCATATTCCTTTACTGGAGTTCACTAATTAGTTTTCCGCGCATCATCTTCCGTGTTATTTAAATAAGGAAGTCTAACCAATCCTAAAGTTTTGACTTTACATCAGCCTGTAACAAGACCGTAACTTTTGTACTCCTACTTTGTAGACATTAGGCACTCGTCGGCCACTTTATTTGCTGGAATCACCGTTCTTGGTATTTTACATCTGGTATAAATGAGTTGGTTTGTGTTATGAGAACAACAACCTACAATACCTTCCAGCTATTTCACTACATTGGCTCATACGAAACGCACAGTATGTTGTGATAGTGTTCATACCTCATCACAGCACGGAAAACTTTACCTGCTTCCTGCTTTTTACGTCGGACATAATGTCACCAACTGTCTACAAACATGAAAGCAATGCCTAATATTCTACATTGTGTTTGATTTCACTTCCCAACTACTTCTAAAAAACCAATAAAATACCTTTTTCTTTAATGTCCCATACAGTACATAGAAATAAGATGATGGATTGTTTTCCTTCATCATAACACGACGTATCAATTACGATAAGCAGACGGCTCAGGTCGACTAACATTCATTTAAAGTATGACACAGTCGATTAACAAGAGATTGTTAATTATATAATAACCAAGCATTTACCTTTGGCTTGTTCATCAGTCTTAGATTGCGGACATGCTGTTTTGTCTTTCGTGTCTGGAAGTGCTTCGTGTGAATGTTCTAGACTATTCTCGTTACTCCCTTCACGAATGGTATGTGGGTCATCATAATGATGTGACCCCGACGAGCTATCCTGTGACGACAGTTGTCCAAGGGACGAGTGCTTGGCCGTCTTTGATATTTTTGCGTTTCTTGAGAAGGCCTTTGTGAATGATGACCGCAACTGCGAAACAAAAATGAGTTTACGATGTTGTCGCCACGCCCGCCAAAAGTATACAAATCAACATAGTTTTACAAAAATGATCTATCTACATATTTAATGAGTAATACATAATATAATCGAATCTGATTAATTTATGTATTAATTCACCATGTATAATGTAAATGTGAGATTTTAGAGATTAATATTTATGACTAGTCTGAAAGAGCAACTTTTCAATCGAACCGTAGAGGAATTGAAGTTTATGTATGTTAGTTACCGCTTACTACTGTAAATTCATTTTTAAACGTTTGCTGTATATGCACTATGTTGCAGTGACTAAGCAATGAGTTGCAGCGCTAAGAGCCGCGAGTTCAAATCCCGCCCAGAACAAATATTTCTATGGACTACAAATAATTGGTCCGGGTCTGAATGTTTGTCCTTGTGAAATTTATGTCTGTAAATTGCCCCCACGATACAGGAGAAAATCCTAGTGTGGACGTATTTAACAAAAAAGAAAGAAAGAAACTGCTCGCTAAAAATAAGTAAATAAAGAGAAAATAGAGAAAAGGAACGACTGACGCTATCGGTTGCGTCCACCAACATAATATTTTAATATTATTCTTAAATAAAACAGATTCAATACTAAAAAACATAAAAGTTTGTAAAACATCGTTGTAGTTTTTGGTCATTATATTATCATGTCATTGAGTTCAAGTTTCATTGAAGGCCTAACAATGCAAATTGTAGTTTTATTTTATTTATTAACGACAACCAATGACCTGTATCAGTTACAAAAAGGATCCTTAAAAGCATTAACTAATAATCTGAGTGATATCATACATAAATGTCACTACGGCATGACAATATAGTAAATATTACAAGATTTACTATATTATGTATATTTTATTGTTATTTGGCCCCCAACACTTTAAGTATTGGTTTTTGTTGCATTAATAAAATAATGCATAAAAGAGCAATAAGTAATGTTTGATATACCTTGACATAACTTGACAGTAAATAATTGTGTACAGATAAATGTGACCAATGTTATAAATGATTACTGCATTAGTTTAATAAATATAAATAAATATCTGACAAAAAAAATAATGTTGAAAAATATTCAGACATTGGTTGTTATTTTAATAAAACGATGGGTTTGTTTACTTTTAACTAATCAATTAGAAGTTGTTGTTAGGAGACAGATATTCCAAAGTTCAAATTTCAAAAGCGTTCGACTCTACTGTTTTTAGAAGGAGTATGTGTGTGTTTGTAATTTATTCGTGTCGTCATCTCGATAAGAAATAACGGCATTGTTTCCAAATTAATTTCAATCAGTACGCTTAATTTCATTATCTACTCTGAAGTTAGTATTAATTTAGTACCATTTTTTTTAAATAAAAATATCAAATTCGTAAACGAATGGGTTCAATTCATGCCCAATCGTAACTCATAGTAGTTAATAGCGTTTGTAATAGTAAATCTCCCAAGCGTCTGTTACTAGTGCAACTCAATACCTACTCGACAACCTGATTTTGAATAATATACTGTTAGTCTGAGATCTGGCGACGAATTTTGGGAAGGTCTTTTGGGCAAGTTGAAATTGTGAAAAAATATAATTTCGTCAATAGGCGAATCCAGGCCCGCGAGTCTAGCTGAGCGTTTGCGGTTATTTTGTTACTGTGCAGCATACAACATTTGCAAATAAAAAATCCAAAAAAATGTTTTTTTGGCAACTTGAATTCTTTTTTATCGTTTAATATAGTTTTTATATAATTCCAAAAAAATAATCGCAGACGTTTTTGTCGGTTATAAAGTATTACCACACCTCTCCAAAATTTTTTTTTTAATTCCCAAAAAATATACTTTTGGCAATCTCAAATTTTAATCACGTATTTATTGAGTAATTTTTAATAATACCTGCAGATCGCCAGACAAATTTTGCGGTTTTAAACAATTCCCAGACGTGAATAAAGTTTACAAATGGATACGACAAAATAGTCTTATGCGTAGCCATGAGTGCGAGAAAGATAGCTTATCGCATGCCGACAGTGGATGGGGGCCTAAGCTCCACGCGCTGTGATTGGTTACTAAGAAATATCTTTTTTAGATTTTAAGATTAAATTCTTGTTTTGGGATTTAGCATGTATGTATGCGCATATATGAACATGTAAATATCTGTGTATATAGTTAGAATTATTTTAGACCAGTGCTGTAATAATTTGTAAAATAGCTATTAATTTTAACGTCGTATTAATAGTAACCTTGGCAAAAATATGTTTTGATAATTACCACCCCATCTTCTTAAAAAGGGATAATATGTATAAAGTACTTACCGCCCAGAGATAAAGGTGGAAAAAATTCCAAGTTGCACGTTCTCTACAGCCGTAACTTTTTCACAGTGATGTGGTACAGATATAGATGAATTTTGATATACCTAAATGTAGTTTTATTATGTTACACATACATCGGGTAGTACTTGCATAAGTAGATATTTTATTAGATATATATAGATTCACAATTTCAACTTGCCCAAAGGACCTTCCCAAAATTCGTCGCCAGCTCTCAGGCTATGTTATTTATTCTGCGATATTAGGTAAGTTTTCTAACACGTATCTTAAGACTTGGTGCTCGTACGTTCAACTGTTATTAAATAAATTGCGATTGTAACAACATTGTGGTTGTTGCTTATTTTCATCGATAATTGCAATATTTAAAAAAATATCTGATGCATACCCATCCTTTTTTCTTGTGTTTTTTATCATGTGCCACTGATGATCCACTGCTGAGACTGTTAATACTGGACACGCTGTCGGTTGAGAGGTGACGCGTTATCGCCCCGTTACCAGTTTGTGCGGTACGCTGCGGTGACGATTGCTGCGTCTGTGCATTACTGGGCTCCTAAAATTATAAACAATTATTTTAACTCATGTATAATATGATGTATACTGTTCACTATATTTTTATTCAATTAATTTTTTTCTGTTCATTATAATACGCTCCAGCTAATCATAGTGTGTATACTCCCGATTGCAGTCCTACCCCAATAACCCAAAAATAGCCGTTGGGAATGGTTTTCTTCTGTGAGTTGCTCAATTGAAAAATCTTGGAAAATTTATGATTTGATGGCTATAAATATAGGTTTTTGTTAAGTCTTATCATCGCATTACCATCTTCGGCTGCATCACCACTTACCATCAGGTGGGATAGTAGTCAAACGCTGGCTTAGAATAGTAGAATAGTGTTATACGTGGTAGAGGCATCTACAACTATATTATGGTTGTAGGACGAATGGGTCGGCTCGACCGGGGAAGGACCACGCTCTAACAGAATACCAGCGTAAAATAGCAACTTAATGCTGCTGTGTTTCGTATGGTGAGTGTGGAGAACCGGAGACCCATTTTACTGGAAAAGAGGCTATGATCTGCATTTTGACTCGCAAACGAGGATATAATATGTAGATGTCTAAGGGCCACAGCAACCACTTACCATCAGATTGGCTGTGTGCTCGCTTGTCACCAATATAATAAAAAAAGGGATTTTGACGTATTGAGTAGTTGTGTTTAATCTCCAAGTTTTTTCTATAAGTAGTTAAGTGTGCCAAACAAGTACACGTAACATCTGGTAGTATGCAGAGGTGGTAGTGGTTATAGCTCCATAGACACTTCTGATATCTAATTATAATTCAGTATCGTTATCAACAGTGAAGACGAAATGCTTCCACAAATAAATCAGGGCTTTTAGTCCATACAAAACACAGGGGTACTATGCTCTTATTTTACGCCAGTTCTCTATGTCAGTGTGATCCAAGCCTGGTGTAGTCGAATTATTCGATCTGTGGTTATAATACAGCTGCAGCGCTCTACTACATACAAAAGTTGATCACAACTTTTCGAGTGTAACCTTATTAACCTCCAACGCAAAAAGAGGGGGTGTTATAAGTTTGACGGCTATGCGTGTGTGTGTGTGTGTGTGTGTGTGTGTGTGTGTTTCTGTGTGTCTGTTTGTTTTCTAGCGGTGGTTCTTAAACATGTTTTATCAAAATCTTTTCAGCCGTTTCAAGGTCATCGGCTGCTTTGTTAGTTGCGGTAGGATTCTTTTCAGGATTTTTTTAATGTTTCAATTTAAGTTATTATTTTAATGTTGTAAGTAGCTTACATAATCAGTTATTAAAAGATGTTGATTTTTTATTATAGTTTAAGTCAATAATAATAACAATATATTTTAAGAAGAAATGGTAATATCGCAGGAATATTTGATGCGATAACGACTACAAAATCATTCTAAACGTTCAAGATGACACGTGTCCATAATAAATCGATCCGATGAGTCGTTTATAAACAATATCTACAAAGTAGGCCTTTTACATGTACTTCTTGGCGCATGATTGATCTAAATTGACATAAATATAGGGCATTAATAATAAGACGTATTGTCACTCGCGTTTTAATGTTTTGAATTTAGAACGAGAGTTACGGTCAATATAAACACAAAGCGATTTCTCGTTATCTGTGGACGTACAAATCGATAAACACGAGAAAGTTATCAACGGTAGACTAATAAAACTTGAAAACGTTTTTAACGCTTTTTAAGTTCCACGTGTACTTGTCAAAGGATTTTATAATAATGCATCAACAAGCTTTTTGAGTTGAGTTTAGTACCACAACTAATGATATGTATATACTTATTAAAAAAGGAAGATACGTTACTAGCACGCCAAAACTGAAGCGTCGAAAAGTGTTCAATTAGCCACTCCGTTCACACTTCATTTTATATGTTTTATTAAATTTAATCCTATGGCTAACAAATAGTACATACATGATAACGTAAGATTAAAGAAAAGGACGACAACAGCCTGGCAATGTATTGAAATGTAAGTAAAACATTAAAATGTGTATGTGTGCTGCCGCTGAGACGACTGGGTTCGTAACATTTTTTCGGTGGTTTTGTGGGCATATAACGTATCTATAAAAATATAATTGACCACAACAACAAGCTGAACAGTAATTCTGTAACCTATGACCATTCAAAGAGTTCATAATTTTTAAGGGATATTTCACAGGAACGTTTCGACGTATTTACTATAACTGCAGTACGAACAGATTAAAATAGCACGATAATGCTGCCGTGTTTAGTATGGTGAGCTACGGGAACTGGAGACTTATTTTACTGATATTATAGCATTTTCCTTTTTATTACTCAGGGGTATTATTTACATTTGAATTCAAAGGAATATACTTACATAATGAAAAAAAATGGTTGTTAAAGCCAGTAAAGGGAAAGGACAATAAACCTTTTTGCTTCCGATGCTACTAGTATTTTTGTACTTTTAATTTAAAAAAAATCTATATAGAATTAATTATTTTTACCTGTCCTGTAATATTGACTCCATCTGCTCGGATTCCCATAGACTGCATATGCGCCGTTGTGAGCCCGGCCTGGATTGACTGCTTTCGGAGTAGCTCGATCGTTTGACGAAGTTCCGTTAGCTCCGAATCCTGATGCAAACAGTTACAACTAGAAGTCAAGAACTTACAAGATTTGATACCTACAAGGATTCGTCAAAATATTTTAATTTATGCTAACTACGCTTAACGAGTATGATTTGTTTCCTAAATAAGGAAAAACATAATCGATTTTCATAATTAAATTATAAATTCGATTAAAAACAGGCATTATATACACAACATCAGTTTGAAAGAAAGTTTCTTCCGTTGAGAACTGAATAAATTAAAACAAGAAATAAATAAATTGTGTATTCGCAAATGTGAAACTAAGTGGATCAAGACCGTAGTTTCTCACAAGACCTTGTTAAGTTCTATATCCAGTCTGGTTCTTTTTGTTAATGCTATAACGAACGTTTTTCACTGGGAAATGAATTCAAGTTTTTCTTAATCGTGTCACCAGATCGACATACTAGATATAATGTTAGTTTCATTTTTAGTAAAACCCAGTGCTTTAATGTCAGTTCATAATTTCTTTAACTTTTAAATAAACGTTACCTTCATTAATTTTTCCGTGTCGTTGGGGTGTTTTTTCATAGTAAAATAGATTAAAAAATCACTCAAGTGCAAGTTTCACCAATAACACAATTATTGTTTTATGTCATATTCATTATTGTTTTTATAATTTTGAATATACGGGATCACTATTATCATATCATTATACTTATATTTTCAAAGCAAAACAATCAGAGCCATATTTTGTACCATGTTGCAGAGTGACATGCCAAGGCTCAGATGCACTGAAGAAAACCTTCAGCTAGTCCATACCGAGGCAGCAACAACTGCAGTATATGAATGGTTTGTCTTCATCATTTTGTTTTGCATTAATCAATATAATTAACAAACAAAACAAACAAATAATGCCTAATCAAGTCAAAAATAAAGAACACGTTTATTTCTTTTTCATGTGCAATACGTTTGATAACTAAATGTTCTGAAGTTCCAACACAAACAATATAATATTATTCTTATTTCCTTCTGAGGTCACAAATAATGGAAGTAAATGAGTACCTAGACTATAAACTTGAAGTTTATCAAATATTAAAACATGTTGATTTTTTTTTTTACTTTCGAATGATCAAAAGATTTTTTTACACTGTGGAATCATCTATAGTATGAAGCCGACAGTTACAGAATTTTCGTCTAGATAGAAAATAGACAGTCAGACTTTAGGGAACAAACTCTTATGTTGTTTAAAATTAATAATTAATAGCAAATCATAGCGTACTTTATTTTTTAATTTGAGATTGAAGAAGGTTGAATATATGAGAATATTTAATAAACTGACAATATGTAATAGAAGATGTATGTAACATAAGCTAGTTTGTGGAATCGATAACATACCTTTCTCTCAGCGGTGGCGGTCAACTGCTGCAGACGCTGTGTCATATTTGAAAGGCTTTGCTCGAACGCAGACACCACGTGGGCCTAGAACAACGCAAAGCTATTTTTAGTAACATGCTTATCAGTTATAAAGATCGCGTGGCTCTATTTTCGAATAAAACACACCAAATAAGCTAAAATGTGTATGCTCGGAGTGGTTCCCCACGTATTCGAACTCACGACTCATTGAGTTTCACGGTTCGTGCCCTTAACCATTACGCTACTGTCGCTTTCATGTAACACACTTTATACAAAATTTAGTAATCATTATATGTTAGCTCTGACTTATTCTACTGCCGTTCTTCTAAGCCTTCGACTACAGTAATGACTTCCATTTGTAACTAGAAATGTTCAACACATAGAGATCAGAAAGCTGTACATATATCAATATAGTCTCACTTATTGCTAACGTGCCAATGCCTGTGCAACGCTTTTAGATCGGACGTTTACAATATTCAGTGGTATAGATACAGAAAAATCCATGAATTTGCGTTTTACAACAAATAGCTCCGGCTAGAGTTCCATTCCCGATGCTCAGACAGCTGACAGACAGCTAGGTAATCAAATATATTACAATCTTCCGGGTATTTAAAACGTAAAGTACATTGACAGTCTGTATACATTTCACTGCCGGACATACGTCTCCCATTTCTGACAGAATTTGGATCAGGAAAGAAGCCACCGCGCTGCCCCAATGCGTGTTGACCGACTTCGCAAGTCTTCGGAATATTTATTTTATTTGATATGTTACTGAATATGAACGATACAAGACAATATTAAAGCTCATGTTCAATTCGTACAAATAAAAACAAGGTATATACCCACGTCTGATCATATACAAAATATTTTATATGTGCTCCGTGGTATGTCAAAAATTTTCTTAACTGATAATAGTAAATCTACTAGCAACAAGCTAGACATTAACGATCCAGGTTTTCACTCATATCTGAGAAAGTTAAGTTTAGTCCGCTACGTCTCTCCAGAGTGTTGGCGGATTCCATTTTTTCGAAATTTTTTTATTCCTCAGTGACGCAGGTTTTTTTTACGATGTTTTTTTTCACCGCCGTGCACGTGGTACATAAGCACTCCAAATAGCAATTAACAATTTTATCGTTCGAGAATTGCGAAATGTATACCGGCTATATAAATATATAACGGCTGAACAGCCTAAAGGATCACTACACACTAAAAAGACCAGGCCCTATTTTTATCTATAAATCAAAAGAGATTTTTTTTCTTTTTTTACAGTAATATTTGTAACAAATTAACAATGACAAACTGAGAGGTTCTTCACACTGTCTAGGTAAAATTATATATTTCTATTATTTCATGCTATTTTTTCATTTTTATTCAAGCTAATTTGTTTAACTCCCAAATAATTTTATTATTAGCTTCTATATAAACTTATTGAAATGCTTTTTATAATAACATTTCCATGAATATTGACTGATTTAGAAAGTGCACCGGTCCAAGGCCTTCTTTGTTACACTACTTGTTTATATGTATGCTAAGGTCTTGACTTGCTAATGAACTAATGACTGCAAATTGAGAATATCTTTTAGCACAAAACTGAGTTGAGGAGCCACTTAGGATGGGTGAGTCAATGAGCTTTATCAGGAACAGTTTTATGCTTCTGTTATTAAGGTGACGAGAGTTTTAAACAATTTAGTGTAAAAATAATATATTATATTAAACTTAAGAACACACCTCCATTTCTGTATGTGCCTATTTTGTACATTCTAAATAATAATAAATGAGAGACGTTTATTTAGTATCTGCGTAAAATAGCACCATATTTATGGTTTGTACCGATAATTGAAAATTCATACAGTAAAAACAATACAATGATTAAGCGTGGCATTATTTTGATTTTTGGATCATAATGTCACTTCCAATAGACATGCTATAAATTCTCTTCGGCCACATTTAATATAATAAATTAATACATACACGATAGCGCCTACGGATTTAAAAAAGATAGCGCCTAAACTACCGCGACTGAATGTTCGGTCAAATTCGTTTAAATAAAAACTTTATTGAAAAAAATATAAACCTAAACAATTCCAGCGCAGTTAAATCAGATAGTAATAAAATAGAATGTTCTAATAAATTCTAAAAGCTTTAAACATTTCTTCATGTTAATAAATGATTATTTAAAACATGGAAGTGACGATTCGTACGATTATTTTTTATTATTTATAATTTATATTTATTATATATATCTATATATAAATTTAAAATCTTACAAATTACAAAAAATATAAATATAATTTAAAAAAAAAAACATATATTCAATACTATTCCCATTTTTAGCTAATAATCGATGACCAGTCAATAATCAATCCTGCCTGCTTTGCCAATAGTGCCAATTCTCTTATAACACATTTTCCCCTGGTGCTTATAAAATTCAATAAAATAGAAAAGTCTTCTGGCCCTTATTATATATTAATATTGAATTAAACAGACTACATTTCTTTCAGGGGACACAAACCCATATAAAGATTTTTATATATATATATATATCGTATATACTTACTCGTATTATTAGGCTTTTGCGTCTAATAAAACATTACACCAATCTTGCCATATCCGTAGTAGGAAGAGGCTATTAAGGTGTGGCTGGAGTGGCCCTTGGTGGCTACCAAGGGCCACTCCAGCCGCACCTTAATAAAAAAGCCGCGTAGGTACATTATAATGATATAAAATATAATATTGAAAGAATTGAACCTTTTAATTTTAAAAATTAACGGACTATTAAAAAAATTTATTTATACGATTATCGTATGAATAATTAATTTTTAATATTTAACGATTATCGTATGATTAGCAACTTGCCTTAAAATATTCATTGCACTTGGGACCTTGAGGCATTATTAAACAACAATTAGAACGATTTCACTTTTAAAAACTATGAAATAAAAAATCATATTACTATTTTTTCTTTCAGTATTATATTAAACTGAAGTTACGTTTATATTATATTAATTAACTTACAAACTCTATTACAAACATAATAAAATTCATAAAAATTTAAGTGGTTACTTAATAATAATCAGTAATTACAATTTTAGTAGTATTTCTTATTTTTAAATACTGCTTTAAACTAATGCAGTAATTGACGAAATTTTTTATTGAAATAATTACATGATATTAAGTTAATTATATGATTTATTTGTGAAAAATCTGTCTGTATAATAATCTATAATTCCGTGTGGCTTATTCAATGATGATAATACAGCAAAATTTGTAATTATTATCGTCGTGACCGTGATTCGAATCCTTTTTTTTAAATTATTCACGTGTGATATGTAGTGGCTGCGAAATAATATCCACTATCCCATATCATAATTTGAAAGAAGTGATGGGCAGAATTTTTTTCCTAATAACCACTGAAAATAACAATAAAACATGCGTGAGTGTTGTGGAACACTCAGTTGGAACGACATTCCTTTCGTAGTATATTATTATTGATAAACGTATTATATTATTAGGTATTATATTATTCATTAAAAATACAAATAGATGAATTACTAGCTTCTATTAAAATGAAGCGTCATTTAAAATAAAATAATATTTCTTTCATGGCAAGATAAGAAACAGTGCGAGGATATTATTCCATCTCGCTTACTTCTAGCCGTCAAGGCCGTCTACACTACATCAGAAGGGGTCGTGACGGAAAAATTTTACACTTTTTCTCGACTAGGGGGTCTGACAAATTCGTACCGTCCGACAAGGAACTTCGTTCCAAAAAAGTGCGGTTGCCAACGCACTTGCCAAGTGTGGCAACTATGGGAAAATCTTTCTTCTTTTCAGGTAACTCTTTCTAGATTGTAATGAATAAACGAATGAAGACTATGTATTCTGTGGTATTTTGTTCCAAAGATACAGATTAAAAATTCAAAAACGCAATGTTAAGTTCCACCTACTAAAACTACTTACTAGTCAACACTTAACAGTTAAAAGACCTTTTCCTATTTGTCAATCTAAATAACACAAAATATTTTGCACGTAAAAATATTTAAAACATTTTATTACATAGAAACAAAATTCATAGATTTAGAAGCTGTAGAAAAACTAACAAAAATTTCGCATTGATATCACCTACAGAACTTTTTTCTTACATGAATATTATTTTTAATGTATAAATAATATGTGCGAACCTGCCTTTATGATATGCGAGAACAAAGGAAGCGAGGTTGTAATCGATTATAATAAAGCAAATTATTATTATTAATAACATTCGTATTTAGTTTTGATGAATAAAAAAGTTAAGAGAGGTGATGCGTATGAAGTATTACAGTTTTATAACAAGAGATGACCACAAGTAGTAACGAAGCGACGGCTGTGCTTTTGTGGACCAGTTTGTTTTGTATCCAGGTCAACTACGCTACCTTGATAATGATTCAAATTGCCCTCTCGTGTGTACGACAAACAGACCGGTTCCATAGCTGTGATGACAGAATAATTACTGACGTCAAATTTTATCGTGGTTATGCTATCGTAAACTTTAAGTAGGCCGAGATTTGCTTTTACATGCTCATTTTACTAGGAGACGGAGATAAATTCAATGACAAGTTAATGTTTCGTTATGTTTATTGTTATGAAACCCAACACACCACTCAAAATAAGCATAAAAGTATTTATTAATTAACAGTCACTCTTGTTTTGAATCCCCGATAAAAACAGAGGGGTATTATATGTTTGTAGTGTGTATCTGTGTATATGTGTATCTGTATATCCGTGTATATGTGTATCTGTGTGTATGTATGTTGCATCATTGCTCCTGAACGGATAAACTAATTTTGACTTAGTTTTTGACGTTTGAATAATATCATAATCGAGTGTTCTCAGCTATGTTTTAAAAATATCTGTTCAGCGGTTTGAAGATCATGAGTTCTTTTTGTTTCGGGTTTATTTTATTTTTTTATTTTAATAATTGATAAAAAAATTGAGAATCAGTCAAAAATAATAACGAAACTTAGATTTCGAAATTCAAAAATTTTACACCTTTAATCAAAAGTTAGTCTATTAATAGTTCTTGTCTA